AAAACAAAAAAAGACTAATAATATCCCATATTTATGAGGTGTGTGGCAATGGGTGCAATGTATGAGGTATAAATTAATGCAGCCTTTTGGAAGGCAATTGGCCAATGTGTATAAACTATTAAAAGCATATACCTTTCAACAGAACCATCCAACTTCTAGAAATCCACCCTTCAAAGGTATTTGAGCACATACACAAAGGTATATTACAAGGCTATTCATGCAAAACTATTCACAGCAGTGAAGGATTATAAACAACCTAGATAGACTTCAGTGGGGTTGCTGTATTTTCTAACAGTTTTAATTCTTGGGTAGTTCTTCCTTACACTGCTGGAATCTATTCACCAGCTCCTGTGTCCAAGGTTTCCCTCCCCGGGGCCTCACAAAGCAAATCTAATCGAAGGTCATGTTGTCATTAATTTTGTCCTTCCTTGGGCGTGGCCTGTATATAAACTCCATGGGCTCTATAGGTCAAACTTGGGATACAGCGTCTAGAAACACACTTCAGATTATTTTTGGAAGCCCAATTGAATGGAGCAGGAGTCTCAAAGCAAAACAAGGATTACAACACATTCTAGTCTCAAATAAATATTCAAGCATCATCAGCTGTCCATTCTTTTACTTGGCACTTGAGTCCTCATTTATTGGGTGTCATTCACTGGGTTGAGATTTACTGCGCTGACTCTGCTTTCTTACTCACTAAGCAAACCTCCTACCTCTTATCTGCAGCAAGTTGCTGCCCACTGTTTTTTGAAAGGCCTCAAATACACAGATCAAAACTGGGTGGCACTGCTGTGAAAAGTTCTCATCCTACAGGTAGGGAACAACTAGGTAGATTGTTAGAACGTCTCTAGCCTTCTGTTTAAAAATGGAAATGTTCCTTATGCACACCAAGAACCAAAACCCTTTCATGGGTTCTGAGAATTGGGGAGTGGGAAAAAAGAACCAAAAGGTAAGCAAAACCTTTCCTTCGTGGTTGCCAAGTATTCTTTTTTTAAACAAAAAAAGTTTTTAACTTTATTATCATTATTATTATTATCATCATTTTGAGATGGTGGCCTCCCCATGTTGTCCAGCTGGTCTCAAACCCTTGAATTCAAGGGATCCTCCCTGCTTGACCTCTCAAAGCATTGAGATTACAGGTGTGAGAGAGCCTGTAATCCACAAGTATTCTCAAGAGGAAACATAGAATGATCCCACCTGGTCACAAGTACTCTTAAAAGGAAACACAGGGCCAGGTGCGGTGGCTCGTGCCTGTAATCCCAGCACTTTGGGAGGCCAAGGTGGGTGGATCACAAGGTCAGGAGATCAAGACCATCCTGGCTAACACAGTGAAACTCCGTCTCTATTAAAAATACAAAAAAATTAGCCAGGCTGGTGGCAGGCGCCTGTAGTCCCAGCTACTCAGGAGGCTGAGGCAGGAGAATGGCGTGAACCCGGGTGGCAGAGCTTGCAGTGAGCTGACATTGCCCACTGCACTCCAGCCTGGGTGACAGAGCGAGACTCCGTCTCAAAAACAAAAAAAAAAGGAAACACAGAAAGAACTGTCCTACTTCCTGACTTTGCCTGGAATAAGCATTACTTGTTAACAATCACAGAGCCAGTGTGTTGGCCAAAGACTTGAACGGGCAGGACTGTGCTCATTTACTCAGGACAGTTGACTACCTTTAAAAAAAAAATCTGTTGAAAAGACATTTCTTTTTTTTTTTTTTTGAGATGGAGTTTTGCTCTTGTTGCCCAGGCTGGAGTGCAATGGCGCAATCTCGGCTCACCACAACCTCTACCTCCCAGGTTCAAGCAATTCTCCTGCCTCAGCCTCCCAAGTAGCTGGAGTTACAGGTGTGCACCACCATGCCTGGCTAATTTTGTATTTTTAGTAGAGATGGGGTTTCACCATGTTGGTCAGGCTGGTCTCGAACTCCTGACCTCAAGTGATCCATCCACCTAGGCCTCATAAACTGCTGGGATTATAGGCGTAAACCACCATGCCCAGCCGAAAAGAGATTTCTATAAAGAGATTTACATAGGAGACTCCTGACATTTGCAAAAGATTTTTCCAGACCTTTCAGATGCTCTAATGTACTACATACCACACAGTGCCTCCCAAAATTACATTGTAAAGTATAGCCAGGCCAGGCATGGTAGCTCACACCTGTAATCCCAGCACTTTGGGAGGCCGAGGCGGGCAGATCACTTGAGGTCAGGCATTCAAGACCAGCCTGGCCAACATGGTGAAACCCTGCCTCTACTAAAAATACAAAAATTAGCCGGCCGTGGTGTCATGCGCCTATAATCCCAGCTACTTGGGAGGCTGAGACAGGAGAATCTCTTGAACCCAGAAGGCGGAGGTTGCAGTAGGAGGCGGAGGTTGCAGTGAGCCGAGATTTTGACACTGCACTCCAGCCTGGGCGACAGAAACTCTGACTCAAAAGAAAAAAAAAAAGGTTAATCTCTTTCTTGATGAGTAGCTTTGGCACTGGCTGATGCACTCACTAAACAACTGATACCAGGGATCTTAGACACGACTGAACTTGACACACCATGCCAGTTTATCCAAAATTTCTATTTGTAGCCAAAAAACAAAGTCACTGTCTTGTACCTCCTCCTTTCTCTTTGTTTATATCACTGGCACCAATGGACGATTTATTTTATGAATCTTTTCTACTCTGCAAACAAGAAACAAATATTTTAATCACTGCATGCAAACTACATAAAGGATAACAGTCATGTGAGATGTCCAGGCAGAGCGGTAGGCCTGGCTCACTAACAGGCAAAGCCAATCATTCAACTCATATTCATTCATAATAGGCCTTTGGGAGTAACTAGTAAATTACTGAAATTGCAAGTGTTGAATCTGCAAATGTCAAGGACTTTCAGTGTATTCTTTGACAACATGTATGTAGTCGTCATTTGTCAGTTTTCTTGGGGAATTTATCTTCTCCTGGTGGACAGCAGGAAACAGCTGCCATTATAGACATTAACCATGCCCAATATTCACTTTCACATGTCCCGAGGCAGCTAGTCACCTACGCTTGACCAACCAGCTGCATTTGCTTAGGATTTCTGAGGCTGGAGGTGGGGATGGAAAAAATTCTTTACAGTGGTTGCAGCAGTGGCAGCAGTATCCAGTGTCCAGACAGCCTTGCCATTGGGGTCAGCATGGCATCCAGCGTCCAATGCCAGCTGTGGCTGTGATGAAGGCAGGAGCACTGGGCACTCGGCAGCAGCAACACTGAGGCTGTCCTCATCTACCTGGCTCTGTGATGGGATTTGTTGTAATTCTAGGTACCTGGTCTCTCCGTGTTTTTGCTTATTTCCCAAGCCTTGTTTCTACAGCCTTCCAATGATTCTGTAACTTACTCAATGTGCTTTGAATAAAATTCATTTCCTGATTTAATTAGACAGAATCAGTTCCCATCTTTTGCAATCAAAAAACCTGACTAGGGCCGGGCACAGTGTCTCACACCTATAATCCCAGCACTTTGAGAGGCTGAGGCGGGCGGATCACCTGAGGTCAGGAGTTTGAGACCAGCCTGACCAATACTATGAAACCCAGTCTCTACTAAAAATACAAAAGTTAGCCGGGCATGGTGGCATGCGCCTGTAATCCCAGCTACTTGGGAGGCGAAGACAGGAGAATCACTTGAACCCAGGAGGCGGAGGTTGTAGTGAGCCGAGATTGCGCCATCGCACTCCAGCCTGGGCAACAACAGCGAAACTCCGTCTCCAAAAAAAAAAAAAAAAAGCTGACTAGGCTGGCACAGTGGCTTATGCCTGTAATCCTAGCACAGTGGGAGGCCAAGGTGGGAGGATTACTTGAGCCCAGGAATTCAAGACCAGCCTGGGCAACATAGTGAAACCCCGTCTCTAAAAAAAAATTAAAATTTAGCTGGGCATAGTACCGTGCACCTGTGGTCCCCAACTACGTGGGAGGTTGAGGTAGGAGGATTGCTTGAACCTGGGAGGTTGAGGCTACAGTGAGCTGTGATTATACCACTGCACTGCAGCCTGGGCAACAGAAAGAGACCCTGTCTCAAAAATAGAAAATTTTAAAAAATAAAATAACCTAACTAATACATATGAATAGCCAAGAAATTCTTAACTCTACCTGGAGTGTTCCTGTTGCAAGTTAAATTCAGTTCTTGACTGAGCACGGTGGCTCACGCCTGTCTGTAATCCCAGCACTTTGAGAGGCCGAGGTGGGTGAATCACCTGAGGTCAGGCATTCGAGACAGCCTAGCACATGGTAAAACTCCATCTCTATTAAAACTACCCAAAAATTAGCCAGGTGAGGTGGTGGATGCCTTTAATCCCAGCTACTGGGGGAGGCTGAGGCAGGAGAATAATTTGAACCTAGGAGGCAGAAGTTGCAGTGAGCTGAAATCATACTGCTACACCCCAGCCTGGGCAACAGAGCAAGACTACGTCTCAAGAAAATAAATAAATAAATAAATAAATAAATAAAATCAGTTCTTGTTCTGTGTTTGGGAGACACAGTGAGAGGAGCACAGAATCAGGAGATGTGTTTTCTGGTCTAGACTGCCATTTCCTGGCTGTTTGACCCGGGGCAAGTTCCTTCCTGGCTCTGAGCCACAGCTCTCTCAGCTGCACCGTGAACTAGACCAGAAGTTCCCCAGACTGGCTTTGCCAAAAAAATTAGCAAAAATTAACCAGGACCGGGTACAGGGCTCACGCCTGTAATCCTAGCACTTTGGGAGGCCAAGGTGGGTGGATCACCTGAGGTCAGGAGTTCAAGACCAGCCTGGCCAACATGGTAAAACCACGTCTCTACTAAAATACAAAAAAAAAAAAAAAAAAAAAAAATTGGCCAGGCGTGGTGATGCGTGACTGTAGTCCCGGCTACTAGGGAGGCTGAGGCAGGAGAATCACTTGAACCCGGGAGGTGGAGGTTGCAGTGAGCCAAGATCGTGGCACTACACTCCATCCTGAGTGATAGAGCAAGACCTTAGCTCAATCAATCAATCAATAAAAGAATGCTTGTGGTGCTCGCTTCAGCAGCACATACACTAAAAACTGGACCGATACGCACGGGAAGATGAGCACGGCCCCTGCACAAGGATGACACGCAAATTCATGAAGCATTCCATACAAAACAGCAGAGTTATTTAAAAAACAGTTTTTTAAAAAGGAATGCTTCTGGAAGAAAGGGAGGGAAAGAGAGAGGGAGAGAAAGAGAGGAGGGAGAGAAAGAGGGGAGGCAAAAGGGGGAAGGAGGAATTCCAACCACACATTGACTAAGTCTTTGTGTGACTTTATGTTGAAAAGAGCCTTCTAGCAGGCCAGGCGCGGTGGCTCATACCTGTAATCCCAGCACTTTGGGAGGCCGAGGCAGGTGGATCACGAGGTCGGGAGATCGAGACCAGCCTCACTAACATGGTGAAACCCTGTCTCTACTAAAAATACAAAAAATTAGCTGGGAGTGGTGGGAGGGTGGGTGCCTGTAGTCCCAGCTACTCGGGAGGCTGAGGCAGGAGAATGGCGTGAACCTGGGAGGCGGAGCTTGCCGTGAGCCGAGGTCGCGCCACCACTATACTCCAACCTGGGTAACAGAGCGAGACTCCATCTCCAAAAAAAAAAAAAGAAAAAAAAGAAAAGAAAGAAAGAAAAGAGCCTCCTACTGACTTTTCCTCTGCACGGCCGCACCCCTTCCATTATCATTCTACCATCACAGGGCACCATTGCTGTGAAGCCGCCGTGTCACAATGGCTACCAAAAAAAGGACTTGCCATCTGCCTTTGAAGAATAGCCTGCCTTGTGTTTGACACTGTAAAGACCTGAATTCTACTCCTGGCATCCACATTTAGTTTTTCACTGGGCCTCAGTTTCCTCAGCTGTAAAACAGAGCTCACCTCTGCCCTGAGCATCTTACAAAATTGTGGTAAAAATCAAATAAGATAATAAAGAGCTACTAGAATAATAAACACTTACTGTGTGCCAACTTCCAGGCCAAACACTTTATGAGCATTCTTTTCATTAATTTTTACCACTTTGTAAGGCAGGGTAATAACGTTCCCATTTTAAGGATAAAGAAACCCAGGTTACCAAAGTAATTTGCTCAAGGTCTCACAGCTAATGAGGGGAAGGCTGGGACAAGAGTCCGGGTGCCTGACTCCAAAGCCCCCGCATGTTCCACAGCCCCTGTGATTTCTACGCAGCAAGTGTTATAGAAAGGTACTTCTTTATTTGTCATGGGATTAGAGTTAAAAATAAAAATTTACTCCAGCCTTGGCAACAGAGCAAGATCCTGTCTCAAAAATAAATAAATAAATTTAAGATTTTAAAACGTAAAATTGGTTTTTTTTCTTTTTTTTGAGACGGAGTCTCGCTCTGTCACCCAGGCTGGAGTGCAGTGGCGCGATCTCGGCTCACTGCAAACTCTGCCTCCCAGGTTCACGCCATTCTCCTGCCTCAGCCTCCTGAGTAGCTGGGACTACAGACGCCCGCCACCACGCCTGGCTAATTGTTTTGTATTTTTAGTAGAGACAGGGTTTCACCGTGTTAGTCAGGATGGTCTCGATCTCCTGACTTCATGATCCGCCCCCCTTGGACTCCCACAGTGCTGGAATTACAGGCATGAGCCACCGCGCCCTTTTTTTTTTTTTTTTTTTTTTTTTTTTGAGACAGAGTTTTGCTCTTGTTGCCCAAGCTGGAGTGCGATGGCATAATATCGGCTCACCGAAACCTCCGCCTCCCAAGTTCAAGAGATTCTCCTGCCTCACCCTCCTGAGTAGCTGGGATTACAGGCATGTGCCACCACACCTAGCTAATTTTGTATTTAAGTAGAGACGGGGTTTCTCCATGTTGGTCAGGCTGATCTCGAACTCCCAACCTCAGGTGATCTGCCCACCTCGGCCTCCCAGCAAGCTGGGATTACAGGCATGAGCCACTGCCCTGGCCACATTTAAAAAAAAAATTAAATAAGAAAGAATGGGCCAGGCCTGGTGGCTCATGCCTGTAATCCTAGCACTTTGAGAGACAGAGGCGGGAGGATTGCTTGAGGCCAGGAGTTTGAGACCAGCCTGGCCAACACAGTGAAAGCCTTTCCCTACAAAAAGAAATTTAAAAATTAAAGTTTGCCAGGGGCAGTGGTGTGCACAGCTGCACTTCCAGGTACTCGGGAGGCTGAGGCAGGAGGATCGCTTGAAACAGGGAGTTCAAGATTGCAGCGAGCTACAATGGTGCCACTTGCACTCTAGCCTGGGTGACAGAGCAAAACCCTGTCTCCAAAAACTAGGCCGGGTGCGGTGGCTCAAGCCTGTAATCCCAGCACTTTGGGAGGCCGAGGCGGGCGGATCACGAGGTCAGGAGATCGAGACCATCCTGGCTAACACAATGAAACCCCGTCTCCACTAAAAATACAAAAAAATTAGCCGGGCGTGGTGGCGGCGCCTGTAGTCCCAGCTACTCGGGAGGCTGAGGCAGGAGAATGGCGGGAACCCGGGAGGCGGAGCTTGCAGTGAGCCGAGATCGCGCCACTGCACTCCAGCCTGGGCGACAGAGCGAGACTCCGCCTCAAAAAAAAACAAAACAAACAAACAAAAAAAAAACTAAATACATAAAAATTAAAAAAAAAAAAATTAAACAAAAGAAGTGTGAGTCTTCTTTTTGGTTATTGTCATCCCATCCTTTCCTGTACTCTTATCTCCCTCTTTTTCCTCCAGCTGCCTAGACAGTCCCAGACTAGTCCCTGGGAATTCCCGAACGGAAGCTGTAGAGGACGTGGCAGGTCATGACCCCTGGGGGAAGATGGGGCTGGGAATTCCCACCATCCCCACTGCTACCACGAGGACTCTAGGTGGACACAAGCGTCCAAGACGGGAAAAGCATTTGCCTCTTTGAGAAGCCGGAAGACTAAATCAGGCTCACCTTCCCTTCTTCGCCTCACCCAGAAGGGCCCTGGCAAGGCCAACGCCCTTACAACAACTCCTTTTCCATGGCAGACACTTTTAGTTGTGAGCTTGAGCCGCTTGCCTAGCTGCATTCAAACAGGGAGCTTTTAAATATCTGAATTGTTTATTCTAAACAGCTGGCCCCACCCATTCGTTGGTACCAGGCGGGCCCCTGCCGGGGCTGAGACCAGCCTTGATGTGGCTGGGAAGCTCAGAAGGCTGGGCAGTGGGCTGTGCTGGGTGTAGCCAATTGCTGCCCAGCTGGGCCTGGCATGGAGACTTTTGGTGGTGTTGCTAGGCGCCTGGGTAATTGGAGAGGCCAGGATTGGGCCTCTGGGCCACAGAGCTTAGCAGCCTCCTTCATCACACTGCAAACCGTCATTATGTCAGAGGCCTGCAGCAATCTCTCTGCGGTTACAGCCTGAAAGGATGCTTTTTTAGCTACAGAAATTAAGAACTGGCTTTTCAATATTACAGGTTTGTGGTTGTGGTTGTTTTCTTTTGGCTACGTTTCTGAGGATACACTTGGAATAAATAGGCAAAAGATTTAAAAACAAAAAATGCCTTCACAAACGCCCATTTCCAAAAGCTTTGCTTTTTCCTGAAGCAAAGCACACTTGACCTCAGCAGTTAGGGCAACTAAGGTAGACAACTCTGCTTCCTGAGCTCTCTCCATGGTCCACTCCGTGTCAAAAGCTTCTTCCTTGAAACTTCACAGGTGGGCTATGGTTCAGGGTAGGGGGACCAGAGAGAACCCCAGTCACGTGCAGGGCCTCTCACGGAATCATTTCTTCAAGTCCCTCCCATTCAAAGACCATCATAATACCTCAGCCTTCTCACTCTACAGAACCACTTTCGCTTATATTATTTTCTGGATCCTCCCATCTGCTCTGTGAAGAAGACATGTTTATTATTCCCATTTTGTAGGTGAACAACTAGGGCAAAAAAAGAGGCATCCATGATGACATACCTAGTGACAGCAAAGCTGGAGCACAAACCCAGGAATCTCAGACCAGAGTCTGGGCCGCCCCACAGCTATGTAACATATTACATATATTTGTGTACCCTGTTATAAGTATTTGTGATGGTGATAATAATACACACTGGTGTAGAAGACATAGGGATTTCATCCTGTATCTCGTATTATCCTAAACACTTCATCTTTGTTGGTTGTGATTGGGCCTTCAAAGCTGTGGTGTGTGCACTAAGGGATATAGTCTGAAAGAATTCTCAAAGACAGACACATTATTTGCATGAGTTAACAGACCTAGCACACCAGAGCACAAGGCTGAAGGAAAACAGTGACCGTGAGGCACTTACCCCTTAATTCAAGGACAGTTGGCTCAGGCCCTTAAGTAAGGAGACAAAATCATGGCTTTCAATAGATACTTGTGGGCATTTTTCAAAAAAGGCTTTCACTGCCTCATCTAGAATTTTTTTTCAATAGTGGTCCATTGATAATGACCAACCATCTGGCTTGCACAGGACTAGGAGTTTCTCGGGATGTGCGACTTTTAGTGCTAAAATCGGAGCAAGCCAAGGGTGTTGGTCACCCTGTCATGGACCACCTGCATCAGAATCATCTGGGGAGGTTAGCAGAGATGGCTGGTTCTAATCCTAGGGCACTGGTTCTTCACCCTGGCCTCACATTAGAATCATCTGAGGAGACTTAAATGTGTTTGAGCTCACCCCAGATCGACAGAAACTGTGTCTCTGGGGTGAAGGCCTGGCACTCGTATCTTTTCATGTGCAGCCAAGACTGAAAACTTCTGCCCTAGAGATTTGGATTCAGAGGGCCTGGGCTCAGGTGTTGTTCAGAAATCTGCATGCATTTTTAACAGCTCCCAGGGATTCTTATATACACCATGTTTCGACAACCAGTGAATGCTTATGTGATGTGTGCATCCAATGGTAGCATTCCCTGAATGACTTGTATGTGTTACATTCTGAAAACACATGGGGAAAAAAAAAATGGAAAGAAAAAGAAACCACCTCCTGTTCTCCAGGCCCTCTCTATTCAGTGGGGAATAAAGACCTATAAATTGTTCCAACATAGTATACTGTGGTTTAGATTTAAAAGTGGGTCAGCGCCATCAGCATGGTTAGGGCTATTCAGTTCCCAGAAGCCAAGTATGGTAGACTAAAGATGGAGCATATAATTTTCCATTCCTCTCACCAAGAGATACGGTTTGGGTTTGTTTCTC